CCTGTAGCTAAAAGGAGCAGTCTTAGGCCTTTAGTTTTGGGGTGAGAGCATTTTGGTCTTATTTTGGTTCCACACAAGGTAGACCAAGAAGCTTCAAGAGGCCGCAGCAGGACTGGAGCCAACATGGCGCCTGTGCAGATGGAGACTGACACTGGTTTATGTTAATTGATTTACTTCCAACTAGTATCCTCCTTCCAAGTAATTTACAGTAAATTAATCTTTCTCAAATTAATTAATTATAAAATAATTTACATCTAATTAATTTATCTCTAATTTATTGCAAATTAGTTTGTCATTAATTTATTGTTAATAAATATATTTTATTTCTAATTAATATTTTGTAAACTAGTTTACATTAAATACATTTATTTTAAATTAATTTTTGAAATTGACTTTCAGCTAATTCATTTCAAATTTATTTCTTTAGAGTGAATTAAAAAAACTCATTCATTTTATATCAACTTGTTTACCAATCTTTTTATTTTAATTTGCCATTTTGGCTTTTAGAGACAGATTTTCTGTGTGTAGTCCTGGCTGTTATGAAATTTAATTTAAATGAGTTTATTTAAAATTCTAATTAATTAATTAATTTTATTTTTTTAACATTCCAAGCTTTTTGTTTAGTATAAAAAAGTGAGTGAACAGGAATAGGGGCATTATTTCTCCCAGAAAATCTGCTTCAAGCTGAACTGGGTGTGTCAGTTGACTCTTGGACTAGGGAGGAGACGGAAGGCGACAAGACGTGGAGGAGCTGGACCTGGAGACATGATTGAAGGAGGCTCGGAGGCCCGGCAGAACCGGGGAGCATAATATGGGATGCGGTCAAACCATCAATGACAGGGTCATGGGCCAGGTGGAGGTTAAGTGGTGACCTGGTGGGGTTGCAGTGGCCCCAGACATTTTTTAGCTACAGATTTGGTGGACTTGGGTGCAGGGACCAAGTGTGCAGGTGCCCATCCCCCATCCCAGCCTCCCCTCTCCTCCCCTACCCGGGACCCACCTCCTCACAGCGATCCCCTGTGGGAAGCTATCTATCTAGTTTAATACGGTTTATGCTGGTTACTCTGCCACCACCCCCACAACCTCACCTCTAGGGTTCTACTCAGTTGCAAGCTGGTTTGGCTTGGTTGGCAGAAAAATCTGTGAGAATCCGGATTAAGGCCCGCCAGGAGAATCCCAATATCTGCTCTTGTAACAGACTGTGGGGGTGGACAGTGTTATGATGTTGCATGCGGAGGGCAGAGCCAAGGTGTCCCGTGGCTGGTGAGAGACAGAGATGCCATGCAGACAGGGCTCAGTGAAGCTTTATTCTTTGGGGGTTGGGGGGAGAGAAAGAGGGAGACAGAAAAAAGAGAAGGGTGCACACCTCGTGGGAGAAAAGCAGAAGAGAGAGAGGAAGGGGCGGGATCAGATATTAATGAAAGACCCTAACCCTTCAGGCTTACACCCCCCAAGCCCCAGGAAATGAGAAACTAAAAAAACTAGTTCCAAGGGCCACCTGACTCAGTCATTATTCAACCTGTGACAATGTAACAATGTAAAAAGATTCCTGTCAAGAGATGTGCTCAGCTGTGACTGGGATAGTTGCAAGTGTTCCAGGAAGGACCACCATGACCTGTATGTAAACTCCACTCCCGCCCTGATACCCCCCTTGAAGTTTCAGGAAGAATACCAGACCATGATCTTAGGAAATTAGCCTCTAGAAATAAACCAATCGAAATGACATTATATGGAGATTGTAATCTTGTGGGGTTTATGGGTTTTTCCTTTAAAAGCACCTATATGACTGTAGTGCGATGTGACTCTTGCTCTTAGGAGCAGAGTTTGCCCGTCTGTACAGACGTTCAATAAACACCTCTTGCTGCTGCATCAACTGGACTGGAGTCTGGGTTCTTGGGGTGCCCCCTCGAGAAGGTAGTACCCTGGGTCTGGGGTCTATCAATTAACAGACATAGATCCATGGCACCCAGGCTTGGATCATGTCTATGGCAGGGGGATGATGATGAGAGAGAGGAAGAGAGGGGAGAAAGATGGGGGGGGGGTAACAGACATCTGGTTCTCCAATAGTTTTTGTTATTCTTTTTTTTTTTTTTTCTGAGACAGGGTTTCTCTGCATAGCTTTGCGCCTTTCCTGGAACTCACTCGGTAGCCCAGGCTGGCCTCGAACTCACAGAGATCCGCCTGCCTCTGCCTCCCAAGTGCTGGGATTAAAGGCGTGCGCCACCACCGCCCGGCAGTTTTTTGTTATTCTATCAATCAATTTAATAACAGTTGGCCCATACGCAATACATTGTGGGCCGGAGCTTAGCCCCTGCACTGCTGAATTTCGGGTTTGGTACATAGAGCTAAGTCCCCCTCACCAAAATAAAAGACTCCCTCTATGTTCACCTCAGCACTCACTGAGGTGGCATCACTAGTCAGGTGGTTTCAGTAAAGGTCAAGTGGGTATGACATCACACACACAAGTTCCAAATATAGTTCAACATGTTTGGTCTTGATCCGAAACATTCCAACTCTCTTTGGATTTGGGATCTGTCTGGGAATTTTAAATTTTATTTCTGTATTATTTTGGGAAATTTCGACTTATATTTTGGGGTGAAAATTCCAATTTTCCAACCCACCCCACCCCCCAGTGTCTGTGTCCTGTGAGGGAAGTCAGGCATGAATGTCACTCGCAGTCACACCTGCACCCTGGGAATGCCCAGCACGAGCACCCACAATGAGTTGTAGATCTGGTGTGGGCTCATGTGGGTCCTTGGAAAGAAGACCAGAGGCACCTTAAGGATGATTTTAACCTTTCCAGCTGCAGGGGGACTTAGCCTCTAGCAGACTGAGACCTCTCCCTTAGCCAAGGGCTTTTTTATTGTTATCCAGTTTACACCTTTAGCAAGTTGATTTCCACATCCCAAAATATCTTATCTAAGCATCTCAAAGGGATAATGCCCAATGCAAGTTCTCCATCAGGAATACCCTGGTTTGCCAGGTTTTTCCCAACCAAGCTTTACACCCTAGTAAACTCCCAGGGAGCTCTCACAGAAGGCAGATCACAGCTGGCTGTTAACACTCTAGGTTTGAACCTGGAGGAAGCCCAACAACAATGGTTTCTATGGACATGATTCTGACAGTGATGGACAGGCAAAGCCCCACACCTCAGCCCTGTGTGGTGTCACAGCATCACTCCTATCGGCCACACCCCACCCTGACCCTGAGTACCCAGTGGGCTTCATGTGAGTATCACTCTTCAAGGTCGCACCCACACAAGTGGGACATCCCGCAACAGCACCCACAGTGCATTGTGATAATATCCAATCCTGAAGGTGATGGACATGCAAAGCCACCTCTTGGCCTCACGAGGGTGGGGCCTTGTGAGGGTGTCACGTGGGCGTCACTCCTCAAGCTCACACCTGCACCAGTGGAACACCCTGCACCAGCACCCACAATGCACCTCACCACAGGAACTCCCCAAACCCGGACCTACAATGCACTGCAATGGCTACAACTTCCAGTTCGGAAGTTGCCGGAAGTGCAAAGCCCCGCCCCTTGGCTCCACGTGGGTGCCACATGGGTTTCACTCCTCAAGGTCACACCCGCAGCGTGGGAACTCTCCGCAGCACGGCTGCAGCCATGGGCGCCAGATGTTGTAGATGGAGCCCAGCTGCTGGTGGACCTGGCTCAGTGAGTACCTTGCTGCCTCCTGCCGCAGTCTCCCCACTACTGCGTGGAACTCGGGCTCCGAGTCAGGCGTCAGGGGGTGGGTCTCTCCAGGGTCTGTGGAGAGGTCGAAGAGCAGAGGCGGATCATGCTCTGTCACGTCCCCGATGCACGGGCACACCTTGCTGCCGTAGCAGGCACCTGCCCCTTCCGGGTGGAAGTTCGGGGTCATGAAGTGAACCTTCCAGACTCTTCCTCCTGTCGATTAAATGGATGACTGACTGAATGACAGGATGTCTACTCAGGGGGAGGGGAATAGTACATAGCCCCGAAGAGTGACGTCACTGACTGATGGATGCCAAAAGGGGAGGAGCCTAGCCCATGGCCACTCAAGTATTCCCTTCCTATGGGGCGGGGCTATGCGTGTACTCACGGTCACGCTGCACCCAGCGCGCGGCATGCAGGAACACCTCACAGTAGTGCAGCAGGAACTCATGGTCTGAGTGTGGGGTCTCCCCTTGCAGCAGGGGCATCAGATTCTTCCCATCAATCACCCTGGGGGGTGGTGACACATTGGCTGTCAATCAAACGTGCTCCACAGTGCTAGTATGGAGGCCTATAGTACCACCTGTCATTCAAGTCCTATGCTATCCCCTCCCCCGCCCCCTTATTGTACCATGTGACATCACACCTGTCACTCGAGTCCTCTGCAGCCCTGTCCCCCCATTGTACTATGTGACAGCCCCACCTGACATTCAAGCGTATTTCCGGTGTGACGTCATTGCTCATCCACCCTTCTGCCCCGCACCCACCATGCGCCCACATAACCGCAGCCCTCACTGACGTCTGGTGTGACGTCACTGCTCACTGGTTCCATGATTTCCCTCTCCTCAGCCCATGTAACAGCCGCTGTCACCCAGGCTCACGTCCTGTGTGACGTCATGTCTCACCTGTCCGCTGGCTCCGCCCCACCCCCCAGGAGGACCACGGTGGGGAAGACGTCCATCATGCTCGTGGGCTCATCCACCACCCGGCCTGCGGGCAGCACCCCAGGCCAGCGGAAGATGCCGGGAACGCGGATGCCGCCCTCCCAGCCGCCCATGCCTTTGCCGCCTGCGAGGGAGGAACCAGAATTCAGGCTGGGACGGAAAGTCAGGCCGGAGCTGGAAGATGCTGGGAACCGGAAGTAGCAATACATAGAGGCGAGGAGGGGAATAGCGAGGGATCACGGGAGAGAGAGACAGGGGCACAACCCTGGAAGACCTGTCAGGAGCTCGAGACAGGGACCGGAAGAGATGAGAGTGAAGGATCACGGGAGGATGCATGGTCGGCCGTGGAGTGCTCGTGTTAAGTACTGGGCGGGGCACCGCTCACCTCTGTACACCCCGTTCCAGCCCCCGAGCTGCACGGGACCCGCGCGAGACTCGAGCGAGCCGCCATGGTCGGACGCGAAGTACACGAGCGTGTTGTCCGTGAGTCCCTCCCGGTCCAGCGCGCGCAGGACGCGGCCTGCGGGGACGGGCGGGCGTGTGACGGGGGACGGACGTGTGACGGGGACGGACGTGCGACGGGGACAGACGTGCGACGGGGACGGACGGGCGTGTGACCCGGGGACGGGCGGGCGTGTGACGGGGGACCGCACTGACGTGTGACGGGGGACCGCACTGACGTGTGACCCGGGCACCGCACTGACGTGTGACCCGGGGACGGACGGACGTGTGACGGGGGACCGCACTGACGTGTGACCCGGGCACCACACTGACGTGTGACGGGGGACCGCACTGACGTGTGACCCGGACAGGGGCCGCACTGACCCCACCCGCGCCAGCCCCGTCACTCACCCACCATCCAGTCCAGCTCCTCCACGTTGTCCCCGTAGGGCCCGTGCAGGCTCCGCCCCCGGAAGTCCGCAGTGGTCACCAGGGGCACGTGCACGTGCAGGAAAGACACGAACAGCAGGAAGGGGCGGTGCTTGTGGCTGGGTGGTGGTGACGTCAGCGGCGGAAGCAGGAGAAACTCAGTGAAATCCTTGCCTCTGACCCACTTCCTCCCCGATTTCCCATAGTCCTGCCTCTCGGCCTGTCATTTCCGCCTGGAGCCTGACGACATGAGTATTGGCTTTTCCATCTCTTCTTTCTGTCTATCCACTGTCATCTGTCAATCATCTGTCAATCAATCTGCGCCAGTATCTGTCAACCATATATCTGTCAATCAATCTATACTTCTGTCAATCATGTTTCAGTCAAACTGTACCTATCATCTGTCAATCATGTGTGTCCATCAATCTGTACCTATAAATGTCAATCATGTTTCTGCCATTCTGTATTTATATCTATCAATCTGTATACTTGTCAATCAATCATATACCTGTAAGTCAATCTGTACCTATTGCCTGTCAATCAATCATGTATCTGTCATCTATCAACCATCCTTTATAGACCTGTCAATCACGTATTTCTGTCTTGTGTGTGTACTCATCGATCATCTCTTAGTCACTCTCTGATCAGGCCTTCAGCTACCTATCAGCTGTCAATCAGTCCCTCAATGTCCATTATCTGTCACCCATGGATGACTCACCCGTCAATCATCCACCTGCCTAGTCTCCATCCATCAACCAATCAATGCCCATCACCCAGCTCCTCGTTTACTGATCACATGGACGTTGTTCTGTGTCCAGGTTGGCGTCCATCACCCCCCCTGCCTCCACTTACTCTCTGGCAGTCATGGTTGGGGACACCCACCAAGGGTTACCGGCTTTCTCCTCGCCCCGTTCCCATGTGCATGACCGACAGCTGGGCCCTTCCGTGTGACTCCCCGCAGGGCACCACGGGAGGGAGGGACGGGGATTGGGGGGTCAGGGTTTCCCACCATGCCCTGCACTACTCACCGCTGCAGAAAGGTCTCGGCCTCCCGGAGCATGAGGCCTGCAACCCGCTCGAGGCGCAGGGGCTGCTGGGTCACGGTGTGGTTCCTCATGAGGAAGCAATCTGCGTAGATGATGAGGTCACCGACGTGACGCGAAGCAGCGAGGAACACGGCGGCCAGCGCGGCCAGGCCGAGGACCAGCATCCACCACGGGGTCCGGAGGAGCCGGGTGAGCCTCCCGGCAGCCAGGGTGAGCGCGGCGAGCGCGCATGCTTGGCCCCAAAGGTGCAGGCGGCGCTGCAGAGCCACGCGCTTCTCGGAAGGCTCTGCCCCTGCGCAGTCCCCCATCATGCCCAGCGGCATGCCCAGGAAGTGCTGGAACCCGTGACTCAGCGGGTGGTGGCAGTGGTCGGAGGACGAGTGACAGTTCAGACCCAGGTGCCACTTCCCTGGAGGGGGAGAAACCGCATGGGCGGTGGCCCAGTGACAGCACCACCTGCGTGATATCACATGGTCTCACCCCCACTGAGTCGGGTGACGTCACCGTCCACTCATGGATGACGTCACCGCCCACCCCTGGTCAGATGACGTCACCACCCCTGCATCCTAGGACATCAGAGAACACACCGATGAGGCCCGTGACGTAGCCCTGCTCCTTCAGGATTTTCGCGAACGTGATCTCCTCTGGAGGAAGGCCACCGGAGCCCGCGGCCCACTGGAGGACACGGTGGCCATTACCGGAAGTCATGCCTGCACCGGAAGGACGATAAATCTGGAGAGTGTACACACAGTAGGACGTGGGGCACACGGCAGGATTCCCCCAGCGCGGCCTCCCACAGCTCCCAGCATGCCCCTGGCCCTGCCTTTCACAGAGGAACTCAGGAGAGCAGAATAGAGGGAGGGAGTGACGTCAGCAGCGGGGTCATACATGGATGGCATCATAGGTCGGTGGGAGGGACTTAGGAATGGGGCTTAATGAGAGGAAGTGATGTCAACAGTGGGATCTAGTGGGAGGAAGTGACCTCACCAAGAGGATCATCCATGGATATAGTAATCGGTCAGTAGGGGGATTTAGGAGCCGGGCCTAGGGGAGGAAGTGACGTCATCAGTGGGATTTTCCAAAGGCTGGAGTCATAGGTCAGTGGGAGGGACTTAGGAACAGGGCAGTGGAAGGAACATGCCTATCTGGAGGAAGTTGTGTCATCAGTGAGGTCTAGTGGAAGATGTGACGTCATCAGCAGTCCGTGGAGTCACTGCTCGGTGGGCCATTGTGGGGACTTACGAGTGGGACTGAGCGGAGGGAGTGACATCAGGGCATGTGGGCCGCCCACCTGAGCGGATGGGGTACCTCCCGGTGAGGAAGGCCGCCCGGCTGGGCGTGCACACAGCTTCGGCCGCCAGGTGCTGCGTGAGCCTCACACCACCTTCTGCAAGTCGGTCGATGTTCGGGGTCCTGGTGGGGAGGGGCAGGGCGTGGATCGTGGCATGGGGGCAGCACACCCTCGTGACACTGGCACACCCACGTGACCCCAGTGTCAGCCTCACTGGGCAAGGCTGGCCCCGTGACGCTCACTTCACTATCTGGCCCGAGGCATCATGGGAAATCAGTGTCCAGCATTGGCATCATGGGAAGGGCAGATCCTGATGCATCATGGGTACCCGGGGCCCTCCCCCTGGTGATATTAGAGCTAGCCGTCTGCTAACCACAGAGGACTGGAGTCTGTACAGACAGAGGTGAGAAGCCGGGGCAGCAGCCGCACACCCTCGGGTCTGCGATCAGCGGAGGCAGGCAGTCCGGCTGCTCTTTCGCTCCTCTGGACTTTCAGCGCTGACCCCCATCCGACGCCAGGTTTTCATTATTAAGACCAATCAGAGTTCATCCACACTCTCCTCTCACCTGATGGTGCTGTTGCCATAGCAGCCGACATCCCCGATGCCCAGGTCGTCTGCCAGGAGCAGGAGGAAGTTGGGTCGAGACTGTGCTGTGTCCAGGCACGTGACCGGCTCCAGGCTGAGGAAGACACCCAGGAGGGCCGCAAGGCGGTTCCTGAAACGCATGTGACACGTCATCCATGGACCCTGCTTCTTCTATCCCTGTCTCCGAGGCAGCGAGCGTGGACGTCATCACTGCAGTGCATGCTGGGCAGCTACATGTGGGTCCAGGGATCCAGTGGAGACTTCCGGCCACCATGGGTGTGTACAGGATTAATTTTCAAATAAATATAAACTGTCAATTAAGTTTCCACAACAGGGACTTCTGGGAGATTCTCTTACCAGAAATGTGGGTGATGGGGCATGACGCTTCTGTCCTGAGAATTCCTGAGAAGTGAACACGTGACAAGTGAGCATGCGACAAAAAGGGCACCTGCATAGTTCCTGCCCCTCCGTCTGCCTGCATGATGGTGCTGCCCACAGTGGAAATGCCCCCACCCCGTCCATCACCCATAAAGGACACGCCCACAGCCCTCCTGTGTCAATCTTCCCTCAGGACACGCCCACAGCCCTCCTGTGTCAATCATCCCTCAGGACACACCTATATTCCTTCCCTACTAATCATCCTTCAGGACACGTACAGTCCTCATGTCAATCATCCTTAAGGACACACCCACAGGCCATACCCCTCACTGAGACCCTTCCAGGGGATTCTGGGTAATGACAGTTGACAGAGCTGTCAATGACCTCACTGCTGCCCACTTGCCCAGCCCCCACGTGGCCCTGGTGGATCAACTGTGACATCATCAGCGTGACCCTTCCTAGAGCTGCTGCAGGTCAGGAAACTTTGGAGAGGACACTGCTGGAGACCTGACCGCACCGGAAACGGAAATAGAGGGGCCTGTGTTACGGGAGAGACCCGCCAGCGCGTCCATGTTTAACGTCGGCTGAAATTGAATTTAGAGATAAATTTCATCTTTTAGTTACCGACCCCTGTGCACTCCGTGTGTAAATATTTTGATTTTTGAGGATTTTCCCATCCTGCGCGAGGCTGGGATTTTGCCAGGGCCTGTGGGACGGGAGCTTGGTAGAGTCGTGATAAAACCATTAAAAATCTCTAACGTTCTCAAACTTTAAAAATCTTTTCATATTTGAGAATCTCGCTCTGTCATAGGCTAAAAACTCACAGAAATAGCGGCTTTGACAGTTTCCCACTTTGTTTACTTATTTTTCATCCGTGCCACGCTGGGACAGGCGCCACACAGCGGCCCAACAAGCGTTTTGTTTGTTTTTTTTAATTTTAAATTTAATTTTAAAATTTTTCTTTATGATTTTACTTTAATTCAACTTAATTTTTATTTTCATTAAATTTCGACTAATTTTCAATTTTATTTCTAGTTTAACTTTCGCCTCAGTGTGCTTTCAAATTTCATTCTGTTTAGATTTCTTTTAAATACCATTTCCATTTTCTTATTCAACTTAATTTCTTAATTTAGCTTTTGATTCTCATCCATCTTAATTCAGTTTAGTTTTCCCTCCTCGTCTTTCCTGTCTCCCTCCAAGCTCTTTTTCTGCAAAAAATATCTTTTGTTTCGTTTTGTTAACCAACTTTTTCCACCCCAAGGTTTCCCTCGCAGAGCTACACCGCCGTGGGACCCTCCCACGTGCACAGAAAGGAGCCCCTGAAGTATTTTTGGGTTTCTCCGGGGCGGGGGGTGAGCGTTCTCTGCTGTCCCCCGCTCCGCTCCCCGCTCCGCTCCTTTTCCCGCCGAATTCCCGCCTGGATTCCCCCAAGACAAGGATGCCGGTCCCGGGAGGCAGCCCCCTCCCTCTGCCCCTCCTGCCCAGACTCACTGTGGAGGCCGAGCAGCCGGATCCGGTCGGTTACCGCCGGTTCTGACCCAGCTCGCCACTGTCTCCGTGGTGTCCCCCAACCCCCACCCGGAGGAACTGGTCTGTCTGGTTGGGCGGGGTCGACAGGGATCAGGCTGGAACCCGTTTTTAGCCTACATGGGCCTGGGAAGCCACCTCAGCCACCCGAAGTCAGATGCTGTAAGTTTCTGTAGAAATAGCTACAGGGAGGAGGTTAGGGCAGCAGGAGCTGCAGGACTGCCGACTCCCTAAGGTGGTCTGTACAGCTAGCTTGCTGACGCTGGGACCGCAGCAGCAAGTGTAGGAGCCTGAGTGTGCATGGCCAGTGTGGGGAGTGCCCGGCAATGACCAAGGCTCTCCCAGCATGCACCAGGTCCTCCCCAAATACAGAGACCCCTCCCAGCATGTACCAGGTCCTCCCAAAATACAGAGACCCCTCCCAGCATGTACCAGGCCACTACCATAATACACAGGCTCCTCCCATAAGACACAGGCTCCACCCATAAAACACAGACCCATTCTGTAACACACAGGCCCCTCCCCTTCCATAAGAAACAGGCCCCTCCCATAATACACAAGCCCCTCCCACAATACACAAGCCCCTCCCATAATACACAGGCTCACGATACACAGACCTATCCAATAACACACAAGTTACACAACACACAAGCCCCTCCCACAACACACAAGCCCCTCCCAGCATGCACAGGCCCCTCCCTGTTCATTCTTCATTAATTCCCACCCTAATCCCCCACGCTGGTGATGGAAATGTGGGCAGCTGAAGTCCTGTGAGACCTGTTGCTTGACCTCTGTGTGACCGCAGCTTCATTTCTTCCAGGTTATCATTAAAACTCTGTATAAAGAGCTCGGATTTGGGGGGGGGGGTTGTAGTCCAGACTCCCTAATTAATATGTAATTATGGTAATGAGGACAGTGGGTACTTAATTATGCTAATGAGGAAGGGGTACCAGGACATGCTGATGAGGTCTGACCATTGTACCAGCCTGACAGGAATGACTCTCCGCATGTAGGAGCCGCAGCAGCAGCTCAGGGTGAGTGCGGAAGATTATTCGGTTTATTATCACGATACTGGGGGGTCGATTGCTCTCCGTGACCCTTGACCTTGGCAGGGGGGAGCCCCAGGGTTGGTGGGAGCACGAGACAGGTGTTGAAGGAGTTTCTGGAGTGTTGTCTACTTGGGCACAGGAACTGTCTGTCCTTCCATTTGTCTGTGGTGATGAGAAATGGTGTTTGATTGACAGCTGAAACTGGGGTCCGGGCCATGGTGGGAAGTGATCCGTGTTTGATTGACAGGGGTGACTGGGTCCGGGTCATGGTGGGAAGTGATCCGTGTTTGATTGACAGTTGTGAGTGGGTCCGGGCCATGGTGGGAAATGATCCGTGTTTGATTGACAGCTGTGAGTGGGTCCGGGCCATGGTGGGAAATGATCCGTGTTTGATTGACAGGGGTGACTGGGTCCGGGCCATGGTGGGAAGTGGGAAGTGTTTGATTGACAGGGGTGGCTGGGTCCGGGCCATGGTGGGAAATGATCCGTGTTTGATTGACAGGGGTGACTGGGTCCGGGTCATGGTGGGAAGTGTTAGATGGCTGTGACCGGGGTACCAATCATGACAGGAAATGATGTGTTTGTGGGGTCCGGGTCACAGTGGCAATGGCGTGCGTTTGATTGACAGGAGTACGCAAATTTGTGTGATTGTACATTATCCCCCGGTGACGGGGGAGTCACGGAAGGTCACGTGGCCCTGTGACGTCATGCCCTGCCAGCACCCCCGTTTTCTGCGGTACCCCGTCTGACCCTGCCTGGCTGGCTAAGTAATTAAGGGTGCAGGGAGCGATGGGAAGATTTAACAACTGCCCAAGTCCCCTTTGAACTTCACCCTTGACCCTGAGCGACTCCAGGTTCCGCCCACACCACAATTAGGACATCACAGCTGCTTCTGGGCGATTGGGGTCACCCCGGCGTGACCCCGTGACATCAAAGACCCCGGAAGTATAATTACTGCTCAGGCTCTGCCTCTCCCGCCCTGTTTGTAATGAAGCCCCCGGGACTCTGGGCGCACGGCATTCTGGGAGTTAATAAGGAATCCGTGGTTATACTGGTCTTAGCCCAGGATATCCCACATCCTTGGCCACGTGTGCACGGGGTCTTCTTCCCATGTCCCCACGGGTCTGACCTGGGGTCAGGGGTCAGGGCCGCAGGGAGTCCGGGCAGGGGTCGGAGTGCACGGCATCAGGGATGTGGGCGCCTTTTTCACTCCCTGCCGTCCCAGCATGCCTTGCAACACTGGCCTGTGCTGCTTACTCCACTTCCGCTTCCGCTCCCCGTTACACATGGGAGCCATTGCGCGACGTCCCATGGTGCTTAGTGAAGGAGGGGGGCAGAGTGGTGACCCAGAGCGTCGCGGGAGGCCGTGAGACAGCAGGGCGTCCCGGGAGTAGGGGTGGAGCAGGGCATCATGGGAGCAGGGGGTGGAGCAGGGGGTGGAGCAGGGGGTGGAGCAGGGCATCATGGGAGCAGGGGTGGAGCAGGGCATCCTGGGAGCAGGAGTGGAGCAGAGCATCCCGGGAGCATGGGGTGGAGCAGGGCATCCTGGGAGCACATGCTGAATCCCCGCTGCTGATATCACAGTGGACCGGAAGTAAGAAGACTTCCTGTGTCCGGTTGAAGGAAAGGCCTGCAGTGACGTAACTCCCTCCCTCTAGGCTCCGCCCCTTACAGGAGGCCCCACCTCCGATTAGTGTCACTTGCCGGGAAACAGGACACTCAAGGATCTCAATAGAAAGCCACGTCATTTCCGGTAAACCTGATAAATATTTCCCACCTCGCGTTGAAATAAGCCCCGCTGGGCAGCCATGTTGTCCCAGTTGATCTAATAGTCTATCAGAATGACATCAGCATGACGACATGGCCAGGTCACATGCAGGTGACACGTGATCAGAATTACATTTTTTTAAATTTATTTTTGTGCTTTGCTTCCCAAAACAGAAGAAGATGCCCCTGCAAGGTGCATGGTGAGAAGATACATTATTTCCTGTGTGTGGGCGTGTCTGAGGGATGATTGACACGGGAGGGCTGTGGGCGTGTCTGAGGGATGATTGACATGGGAGGGCTGTGGG